TAATATGAGTTGGGAACTGCCATTTGGAAGAGGATGACTCAAACAACTTCAAGTAAATGACGATTCTTTCTTTCTGCAACACCATTTTGTTGTGGGGTGTCGACACATGTAAATTCTTGAAGTATTCCCCGTTGACTGGTAAAATTTGAAAGGGTGTGATTGGCGTACTCTTTGCCATTGTCAGAGCGAGTTCTTTTAATCCCCTTGTCAAATTGTGTTTGTACCATGTTATAAAAACTAATAAATATTTCCGGTACTTCAGACTTATCCTTCATCAAGAAAATCCAAGTTGCTCGAGTACAATCATTAATAAATGACACAAACCATTTAACACTCGAAATATTAGAAATAGGTGTAGGTCCCCAAACATCAGAATGTATGAGATCAAAAGGTTCAACACTTCTATTGAAACTAGGAGTAAAAGAGACACGATAATGTTTAGCTAACTCACAAACGTCACATTTACTGAATGATGTAAAAACAAAGAAGGAAACATAGACTTAACTAAAGGGAATGGTGGATGACCAAGACACTTGTGCTGAAGCCAAATTTGTGCGGCAGAATGAGAAGAAGACACGGAAGACTCAGTCTTCAAGTAGGAAGCCAACACCTTCGAACAATTTGGTTCATCAGATAGGTAGTACAACCCTCCATTTTCCTCAGCAACTTCAATTGTCTTCCCCATGGTAAGATCCTGAAAAACACAATAAGAAGTGAAAAATATTACTTTACAATTCTGATCACGGGTGAGCTTACGAACAAATATTAGGTTGTGAGAGAGTGTGGGAACATGTAGCACGCTCTGTAATTAAAGTGAAGATTGCAAGTTAACACTCCCAGAGCCGTTAATACGAGCATAAGAACCATTAGCAACCGTAACATAATGGTTCTTCTTAGAGGAGGTGTAAGAGGAAATCAAACTAGGATTGAATGTCATATGGTCGGTGGCACCAGAGTCCAAAACCCAAGCATTCTTAGAGATTTAATCGCAAACACTAAAGGATTGAGAGCATACACTCAAGTCGGTCGTCGGTAGAGAACAACTTCCAAAAGGCATACCGAGAGAGTCAAATATAGCCTTTAAACGATTCACCTCATCCTTGGTGAATGATAAAGAGTAATCAACAAAAAAATTTTCAGCCATTTGTAGCAAGCTAAAAAAAACAGCAATAAGACGAGCCAAACAGCAGCAAAAAAAGGATCAAATAGAGGTGTTTTTGGACAGTTTTTGGATGGGAAAAAAAACTGCAATGAAGGGTAACAAGGCTGCAATGAAGGCAGCAAAAATTGTCACAATGAAGGTGACTTAGGGTTTACTCTATGAAGACGGCTAGGGTTTATGCGGAAGCAAGTCTCTCAAGATCGAGAGCTCTTGATACCATGTTGAAAATTGAATACTTGGTGAAATGCTTGAGTTACAAAGCACTCAAGTGATTTGATTATATACACTCAAGAGAGTAATTACAAGATAAGATTGAAGCTATTTCTTAGGTATATGTATGTAATTTACAAGGCATAGATTCCTAGACTCCTAGGAACATGCTCATAAATACAGAATTATAATTCCAATAATTTGTAATTTCAATAATTGGAATAATTCCAATAATTCCAACAGCATTGATGCAGTTTAATTCCCATTTCCCTCAAATCATGAGATTTTCCATCAAAACACATCTTTGGGGTTTACCTTGCACCATACTAGTGTGATGTATTAAATTTACGAATGCATTCAAGTTGCAAAGGGGTACTTGCGTTTTCCTTCTGCACATGACTAATGAGTTGTGAATTTGCCTATGTGTGTTCTACTTTGCATATTAACACGATGAGAACATTGGGAAGATTTCTTTTGTCTACCCAACTTCTGCTCTTCAGCTATTCGGGATACACACTTCCTCTTAAGTAAAGATTAACTTACCAAATTTCCTAAAAAACCTTTTCCTGAATTTTTTTCACATTTCCATTTCATATCAGATTTTTATCACAAGTTAAAGGTGATATGCGTTTTGGTTTATTCTGGAAGCCTTTTTCCTACACGCAGTATGATGATTGGGGCACTCAACACTGTAACATCTGGCTTATTGCATTGAAGTCCAAATTTTAGTTGTTAATGCTGATTTTTGCTGCCATCTGATATATTTTTTTAAAAAGGCCAAACGAAAATAATATATTAAAAACTATTTTAGCACAAGATGTGCATAGATAGAGCCTACTGATATCTTAATTTTAGTTTTAGTACTTTTAAGTTGACTTTGTTTGCCTCCTTTCTCAACAATGCTCAACCTTTCTTCTATGTAACAGTTGCTCAGAGAGAAGGGTCTTCTACCAGAGCTCGGCCAGCAAATAGATAACCTTGTTTGTGCTTTGGATGAAGAACTTCAAGGATATGCTGCCACAGCTGCTAACATGCTAAGAGAAAAAGGACAGAGTGTCGACTTGGTTTTGGAAAGCAAACCACTTAAATGGTATAAAATTCTTTCGTCACCTTTGTTTAATTTTTTGGTCTATCTTTTGACACGGTTTACATTAGGGCTTTAAGCTATTGTGCCATCATTTGATTGGTGTTGCTGACAACACCTAGTAGGAAAATACTAGGGTGTTAAATTTTAATTTTCTTTTAAATTCTAAAGAGAAGATGAAGGCCTGAATATGTTTTTTCAATTATAAAGTACAGAGGGTATTGACAGTATTTAGGCTACTCATAATCTATATTAAGAAACTACGAGGAAATAGTATATAAAAAATCTGTACAAATCAAATTTATCCTAATTACAGGAAACTACAGAAAGACATTTGTACAGTAATAGAGTCAAATCGTGCTTACTATGGTAATTATGGCACATGACACTTTTTCTTAAATCATACTTGAAAATTCCACAAGTCTTCTGATGAGATGTACCCCTCTTAATTCTCTTTTAGGGTGTTTAAACGTGCAGCCAGAACAAATGCTGAGCGTCTGATATTAGTAGGAAAGTCTGAGTGGCAAAGGGGTATGGTTGGTGTCAAAGTTCTCTCCACTGGGGAACAGTACGAGGTTAAATTGGATGATCTAAATTGAATCTGAGTTTAAATTTTTTGTTTTATGTTTTTGATTTCATTATTGACATTTCATATACCTTATTTTTTAACCTAGTCCTTCTTGAAGACTTATTTATATATACACTCACATAACCAAGTGCACATATACTGACTTTCAATGCTTATACATTTATCAATCGGCTGCTTGTGTTTATATTTATTTTGAAAAGTTGAGATGCTAATGATTTGGATATGCATTTTATTTTTCCAGATAATTTAAAAATTATTTATTTAGAATCTTATCATGCTTCCCACAACCCTGGTGAATTATTTATTTTTATTTAATGCTTCCCCTTTCAAATCAGTAAAAGGGATTGAGGAAAAGAGCATAATGCAGTAAGTTGGGTTTGGTACAAATTAACAAGTCTTGCCATGAATTTGCATTAGCTTAGAATGTTTGCGCACAATAATATTCCATGTTAGTGAAGTAGGATGATTGAAGCATTTTTCTTTTGAGAAAACAGATAAAGGAAGCTTCAATATTTCATTAATTGGTTGAGACAAACTGTTAAACATGCTAAAGCTGTTCAAGCCAGTCTTGCTGAATGCTACTGCATGGTTCTCTTAGAAGAGGATGGCAGTCTAAGGGTTTTGCTTGCTACAACTACACAAATTTCTATGGTCATTCAACAGGAAAAGTTGCAGCAGTATTTTTGTGTTACAAGCCTATAAAAATTGAAAATTAAAAAGAGATAGAAAGAAATAAAAAAATTAGAATGTATTATTGAAAACTGAATGAAATTTATGAATAGAGTTCTCCCAAGGATTATTCTTAGAATTGTTTTAGGGTCTAACTTAACCTTACAAAACCGGCTTGTAAAAGGTGAGGGCTGCTCATGCTTTATAAATACTATATATCTAAGATACGTGGGACCAAATTCACTCCTTCACAATTATGTGACTAGGGGCGGACCATCATTAAGGCGGAATTTCCAACTCACCTCCTAACGCTCGGGCCCCAAATAGTCCATAGTGTAGGCGATATGGGAAGTCCAACAACAGTTTTAGGATAAGCTCGGATACCATCTTAGAATTGTAGTTAGGCCTAATTCAACCTTACAAAATCAGCCTGTAAGGTGAGGGATGCTCAAGCTTTATGAATACTACACATACCATACCTCTAATCAACGTGGGACTAGGGGTGGACGCAATTTCTCCTATATTCACATGATATCCCCTCTAACTACTTAACTTCCATAACTGTTTAACTAACTTACTTCTCTAACTTTTTTTCCTATTCCCTTTTATCCTAAAATATTAACATATTTGATGTGGTATAGCTTTCTTGGATTACCTATGTAATAACAACATTGTATCTAGTGTATATGTGGGGCTTCATCCCTTTATCTATTTATAAATGCATTTCTATTTTTTTTGGAGAAACATTGTGAAAGAGTAGGTCTTATGTGTAAAGTTCTTTATTTTAGATCTGGTTTTACTTGAGTTATAGGTTTATTTACCTAAAATTGGAAAGTGGTCTACTGATGTACATTTTGATTGCTTCCCTCCATGTGGTCTAAGGTCAGATCATTTTCCCTTGTATGAGAAATTAGAGAAGGAGCAAGATGAAATTACAACATAGGATATGCTTCTTAGGCAATGTGGGAACTTGAGCATCATGTAATTGGAATTCTAATTTCTAATTATTTTTGTACCTTTATTATTTCAATACTTTGGTTTGTTTGTCACGTGCTTCTATCTTATTGCCGCATTGCAATGTCAAACAAACACAACACTGATTTAAGCTGCATATTATAAACATGTATATATACTTTTATTCTGCTTGGTTTGGTTCTACTAGGCAGGTAACTATTAACTACTTCCCGTTATATGATTATGGGTATACCGTTAGTCCAGTAGTTTTGCAAACACAATACACCACAGAATGAAATACTAATAGTTCGATTGACAGTTGTCTTTAAGATTTAGTTAGGTACAATTGTTCCCACTAGCCCAAACCCCATTGTAAAGAAAGCTCCTGCTTGCAACAATAGGTAGATGAAGAAATGGTCATGTCCAAAGAACAGATCATAGATTGCACAGTGCAACATATACATCCCCACTATAATCTCCAACGGGTGGATCCTGTTGATTATAGTAAAGGGTCATAAGTATGCATCAGATGAAATATTAAGGAGTGATAGTCAAATATTGTAACTGCATTCTTTACCATGCTTTCTAAGGTCTATTACGTTATATCCGTAAGTCCAAATTGCTTGAAAAAAACAATCAAAATATCATCTGTATTCTGCTTGCTTTTTTTTTCTCTGTATGTAATTGTTGAATGATGCAATTGGAAATCATTTTGTTGGTTAAATAAACTACTTTATTTCGAGAGATTAGCTACAAAGTAGTTGTTACCTTTCTGTAATTCGAAACCATGGAGTTCTTGATGTTGATTGCTTAACATTGTTCCTCTGTTTCATAGTATTTCCAAGCTTCTCAGTCACAACCCATTCGTTGACACGATTTGCTTCCAAGAGTCCTATAATTGATGCCTTAGTTCGATGGAGTGACATGACATTCTCAAAGAGTATCCAGAATACTAGAAGATGCATGGATCTGTCCCATGTATAAGCCAGTGGAAGAATAATCAAAATAACTGAGGAAAACTGAATAAGTTTTAAATTGAGGGAAACCAATTACCTTGGGGTGCAGACTGCATTTAAAATTGTAATGGTTGCTGGGATATATATGGCAATCTGCTTTTTGAGACTGACTTCTGGAACTACCACACAAGCTGGTATGACTATGCAGTAAAAGAAAAACGTGACCCAATGTGCAACTGTTTTCCTCAGAAAGAAGAAAGCATAGATAAGATGGAGTCTCTTCGTATTGAATACATAAGTAGCTTAGTCCCTATTTCTGTTTTATATATTTGATTGGCAGCTGTAAGTTTCAGTGTGCCCAAACCTGTAATAGCAGGTTACCCTTGATGCTGTATATAAAGCATCAAGGAGCCTTTTGTAACTAACAGAAAATAGAATAACAAAATTTTGTTACAAGATGAAAACACTTCTCTTCTCTACTCTTCTTTCTAATATGGTATTAGATTGCTGAGTCGATCCATGGCTACGATCGCTTCGCCATCGCCTCCGTCTTCCGCTAGGGTTTCGCCTGAACCAACGTCGTTCCCGTCGTCGATGGTGGATGATTCTCGCCGCTTGCACTTCTCGCTCAAGATTGCACAGAAGCTGGATGAAAAGAACTTCCATCTCTGGCGTCAACAGGTAGAACCTTATATCAATGCGCATGATCTCACAGATCTGGTGGTATGCGCTCGTGTTCCAGTAAAATTTGTTGACGATGCCGCTCGCCGTTCCGGCTCTGTCAATCCAGCGTATTCTCGCTGGATTCAGAAGGACCAATTGCTGTTGTCCTGGCTTCAATCTACACTTTCCAGTGAGATTCTCTCACGCGTGCTTAGCTGTAACCACTCTCATGAACTGTGGGATCGTCTCTTCAGCTATTTTCAGAAACAAACCCGTGCTAGGGCACGCCACCTGCGTGTTGAATTGCGTGCTCTTACACTTGACACTCTTTCTGTTCAAGACTATTTGTTGAAGATCCGTACCATTGTTGATGCGCTTGCATCCATTGGTGATCCAATTCCTGTGTCGCATCACATTGATGTGATTCTTGAGGGCTTGCCTGCTGAATTTGCTTCGGTTGTGTTTGTTGTTGAAAGCAAATTTGGAGTTATGGACATTGATGAGGTTGAAATTCTGCTATTGGCTCATGAGCTGCGCTTGAACAAGTTCAAGAAGCAACCAATTCCAGATTTGGTTTCTCTCAACCTAACTCATGTTGTGCCTCAACCACCAACAACAGATGAGTCTCCAGCACCTGTCACTGATTCTTCCTCTGCTCACACTGGTCACTCTAATCAAGTGCAGGATTATCAACCTTTTAAAGGTGGAAAAGGTTATCGTGGTGGTAGGTTTGGCCATAGCAGAGGTGGAAGATTCTCCAATTCTAATATCCAGTGCCAAGTTTGCTCCAAACCTGGTCATTCTGCCCTACAGTGCTGGCACAAGTTTAACTACTAGTTCCAATCTTTTGGTGCAAACTATGTGCAACCTCAATGGCAGGGTGCTCATGCCTATTACACTCAAGCACCACCTCAAGCCTCTCCTTATGTGTGGTCTATGCCCCCTGCTGTGCCTTCTTATCCTCCTGCCGTTACACAACCTCCAAACACCTTTGTGGAAAATGCCTCCCCATCTCCATCTGGCTCCTGGTTTCTTGATTCTGGCGCCTCATACCATGTCACTAGTGATGCAAAGAACTTACAACATGTGACTCCTTTTGAAGGCCATGATCAAATTTACATTGGTAATGGACAAGGTTTGACTATTCAGTCTGCTGGTTCAAGCTCTTTTCCTTCACCTTTTCATCCTACCACACACCTCACTCTCAAGAACTTACTCCATGTTTCTGCTATCACTAAGAACCTGTTTAGTGTCAATCAGTTTTCTAAGGATAACCATGTGTACTTTTTATTCTCAGCTGACAAGTGTCTTGTTAAATGTCAGGTGTCTGATGCCACTCTTCTTGAAGGTCATGTAGGAGCTGATGGACTCTATGAGTTTCCCTCTATTGATGTGTCACAATCTGCTAAGTCTTTGTTGCATTCTACTAGTTTTTCCTCCAATAATGGCACCTAGTGCTAATACTGTTTCTCTTTCTAATAGCTTGCCTTACATGTGGCATCTTAGGTTAGGACACCTTAACAATCATGCTCTCAAGCTTATTTTGCAACATTGTAATGTTCAGTTCAGTAATAAAACTTGTGATATGTTCTGTTCTGCTTGCTGTATGGGTAAATCCCACAGGTTACATGCTCTCACTTCACACAATTTACACAAACCCCTTGAACTTGTTTATACTGACCTATGGGGGCCCTCACCCAAGGCCTCTGCATCTGGTTTCTTGTATTATATGTAACTGAGGTGGGTATTAACCATCATCTTATCTATCCACATACACACCACCAGAATGGTGTCATTGAAAGAAAACACAGACACATAGTGGACTTAGGGCTTACTTTGCTTAGTCAGGTTTTCCTTCCCTTAACATATTGGGACTATGCCTTCTCCACTGCTGTATATCTTATTAACAGGCTGCCATCTGCTTCCATTCATTTTGAGGTTCCTTACACTCGTCTATTCCATCAGCAGCGTGATTACAAGTTTCTGAAAGTTTTTCGGTGTGTTTGTTTTTCTCTCTTGAGACCTTATCTTTCTCAGAAGCTTAACTTCAGATCTCAAGAATGCCTCTTTCTTGGATATTCCACCTCTCACAAAAGCTATAGGTGTCTGGCTCCTAATGGCAGGTTATACATCTCAAAGGATGTTCTATTTAATGAGTCTAGGTTTCCATATCTAGATTTATTTTCTTCCAGACCCAGTGTTATTTCCAGCCACAGTACATCCTTGGAACCCCATTACTCTAGCCCCCTTTTGAGTGCTCTTACTCCTCATATCACTTCTTCACAATCTCTTATCCCTAGTTCTTCAAATGATCTCCAACCTGCCTCTCCTACTACCTCATCTGTTCATGCTCCCACCTCTGACCCTTCTAGCCCTAAGGATTCATCACTAGCTGGTAGTTCTGCAGCTCCTTCACCTACTACTGCCAGCAACTCCTCAGGGACACCCTCATCTTTCTCTAGTCAGGTTGACCCTTTATTCAGCTCATCTTCAGACACTGAATCTGAACCACATGTGCACCCTAATGCTATTCCTGTGTCTGTTATCCCTCAGAACTCCCATCCTATGATAACTAGGGCCAAATCTGGATTCTCTCAGCCTAGACTGGATCCTAGGGTGCTTCTTACTCCCTCTGAGCCTAAATCTGTTAAACAGGCTCTTGCTGATTTGCATTGGAAGGCAGCTATGCAAGATGAATTTGATGCCTTACAGAAAAATGTCACATGGTCTCTTGTGCCTTTACCCCCCAACAAGAATGTTATTGGCTGCAAGTGGGTCTTTAGGCTCAAGGAAAATCCTGATGGCACCATCAACAGATACAAGGCCTGGTTGGTAGCCAAAGGTTTTCATCAGAGGCATGGGCTGGATTTTACTGAGACCTTTTCACCTGTTGTGAAGCCTGTTACTATCAGGATCATTCTCACTATTGCCATTACCCACAGGTGGTCCATTCAGCAGTTGGATGTAAATAATGCCTTTCTTAGTCCCTATTTCAGAAGTGATACCCTCTGGAAGGTACACATGATGCAAATTTCAATCAGTGTAAGGGAGTAAATGTTGATTCTACAAGGAATTGAATTTGATTTCAACTGTTGATGAGGAAATTAAATCTTACATATTTGGCAACAGAGAATTTCCTTTGTCATTTTCTTAAGGAGATTAGCTGGACCACAAGACCACCTGTGCCGCTGAAATCTGTATGCTTTAAATGTGCTTGGTAGTTCATTTTTGACCTAGTAAGCAACAATTTTCCCCCTCATGAGAATTGTGTGGTTTATGGAGTATTCAAGTTTAACCACTATATTGTACCAAAGATAGTAGTCATTATGGATAACTTACTGTTACATCACCCACAAAAACAAATTCCCAACCCTTCAGGCTTGCCCTAACTGCAAGGTCCATATCTTTCACGGTGGTTCGATCTTTCCATCCTCCAGCATCTTTTATTGCTTGAATCCGCCAAATTCCTTCTGTCCCTGCATGTTTTAAAGCAAGCTTATAGAAGTTGATATGAAAATATGCTTGTTTGAATGTAATCCGACGGGCATCTTGACTTACCATTAAATCCAAAGAATGAGTATGTTGAGGAGCCTACTTCCTGTTCAACACTAAAATGATAATCGAGTGACATTTCTTGAAGTCGTGTCATAATACATTCCTCTGAGTTAACTGTGTAGACATGAAAGCAGTGTTACATAACTTTGATTTACTGGACTCATCAGTACGGCATGTTGACGCACTGATGTGGTTGCAACAACTTAACTTACCAAATTTCCATCTTGCCTGAACTAAACCCAACTAAGGGTTCTCAAGAAGGTAAGGAATTGTCTTCCAAAGAAAATCTGGATCTGGTTGGAAATCTGCATCAAATATTGCTACAAACTCACAATTCTCAACATATTCTTTCTCTAAACCCTCTTTTAGGGCACCTGCCTTGTAACCATTGCGATTTTTCCTTGTCACATACTTGACATTCACACCTTTCTGCATCCATTTTTGACACTCGAATTCAACCAATTCCTGCATGTTATGGAAACACATGTTTACTATAACTTTTACACTCAGGCACATGAACATATGGGATCTTCCACGATGAAGCTTTACTAGATTAATCAGATACCCTTAAGACATGATTTGTTGAGTCATCAAGAACTTGAACTATGAGTCTGTCAGTTGGCCAAGAAAACCCACAGACTGCTCCAATTGAAAGCTTGTAGACCTGGAAGAAGAAATTAAATGTTCTTAGCCAAGGTAATTCATCTCTATTCTTTAGTATTTACTGAAATTACTTTATCAATCTTAATGGGTAGTCTTTATTTTGACAAAAGTAACCAACTTGTGTTCTTTGACTTCAGCATGTAGCTATGATTTATGATGCATATGATTGCATAAGTGCTAAAATATATTAAAATAATGATAGCGAAAATCTAAAAGGACCCATTTAGTGAAGGATATATAAAAGAGGCTAGAATTTGCTGGTGACCCTGAATAGTGCAAAAGCTAACCAACCCCATCCACTCCGAAACGAACGAATAAAATATAAGTGAATAGGAGTAAAATAACTAATTATTCAGGCCACAATGAATGTTGAAAAACCCAATGTCTAGTTGATTTCTTCCCAATTATAGCCAACATTAGTTCTTACTACTATCTACAAATGATAAATTGATGTGCTTAGATTTGGTATGGTTGTTCAGAATTATAAACTAATAGTTAGTGACTGATCGTCCAACTTGCACTTTATTTTGGATTTGAGATATCATAGATTAGATGGTAAATATGTTTAGATACCAAATAAAACCTTAAAATTTTCTGTATGTGCAATCATTTTAATTACAAAGCAAAGTTACCTCTTTCTCATTATACATAGGTATTTGGATCAACACCATGGGGTATCTTTTGTTTCTCTCTATGGCCTGTTTCATGGCATCCAACTTGTACTTGGTGTATTTTTTTATCCTCAACACCTTGACAATCAAAATTATGGCCGCCATGCCTACTCTCTCAAGAAATAGCATGACTGACATAATTGAGCATAGTATGACTGCTAGTTTTAGGAGTGGTATTATCACCGGGGCTCTTATGGATTGCCAGGCATATCTTAGACTGCTTGAAGCATATCCTGGAATCCCGGCTTCAGGCTCTTCAAAGATTAAGCTTCTCATGGTGTTTAGGGTTGTAGCTATTAGGAATAGGGAGCCTGAAAAGAGCCTTGAGATAAAGCCACTTTGGGGCCGAGGCAATGTCGAGGGTAGTGATCAGATGTGTATGTGTATGCGATATGTGTAGGGGATGAAACCTAGGCTTTAAGTAGGAAGAACACACTTGGTAGGAAAATGCAGACATGCATTCGAGTTTAGGTTTAACAAAGTAGTGTAATGAGTGGGCTATTAAGGGGATATGTATCTTTCTTATTTTTAGAGAGACACGTTATTCATGCAAACAACGGTGTTGCAACGTAGCTAATTGATAACCGGATATGTCTTTTCCTGCCGACAATTGGATCAACTGTTCTATTGTCGATGATTTTTATCGGTGTTATAATTGCTTATATCATTTGATCAAACTTTTGGGATTCTGATATAATGTTAGTAAATATATTGGGTAAAGGCGAACAAGATAAAGCTGGCACTTTTGTGCCTTACTAATTCTTAGATGCAATTGTTTTTTCATTTAAATTTATTGTGCTTAGGAGCATATCATTCATAAAAACATCATAGATTTGCTTGTGGTCAAATTTCTTTAGAAATGCTGGTAAAGGAATTTAAAGTACTTTATAATTCACCATAGAGTGCATTAAATTCTATATATAATCAATGACCTTGCTCTAATCATTCTTGTAAAATCTTTTGACTTCTAAATATAAGTAGCGAGGCTTCTAAATATTTTGGTTTACAATAGTGCATATAATACATATTTAACTCATGTCTGTGGCATATGTGAAATGGTGGCCGTCTGAACAATAAATATAGGTAGAATTGTTTTCAGGACTAGGCTTATATTTTTACGCAATAGTCTTGATTAATTTTTGTTACCCTGAGTACAATATCATGAGTTTCATGAAGTTTTATTAGGTCTGTATCTTGATCATGCCTTCATTCTGTTTTGATTATTTGGTTTCAACCATTAGAGTTTGTAATGGAAGAGCAAAAAAGATTACCCAGTTAATATATATTTCAGGTAGAGTAAAAGTAATTAGACATATGATGTTTTTGGAGTCTATAGGATAAGTATGGTTGCATTCATGGTATATGTGGAACGGTAAATCTGGAGAGACAAATATAAAGGAAATTGCTGTTTCATGACAAACATTATTTTCTTTAACCTGTTATCATTCTCTTTGTCTGAGTTACTGCCATAATGTAATTTTCTTTTGATTAAAATAGGTTAAAACTCCATAATGTCTAGGAAATTAGAATATAGTAGATATATAGTAAGAAGGTAGAAAGTAAGAATAGAGGATAAATGTACGATGACACAGACACGGAGAGTTTTTTTTTTTTTTTTTTGTTGGAATTATTTTTCTTAAATTTGAAAAATCTGGTTAATTGTTGGCGCCGAAAATCTTAATTGTTATTTTTATTTTTGGATTTATTTGAAGGTTTGAAAAAAAAATTGAGTTAAAGTGTTTTTATTTTATTTTAAATAATTTGAAAATCTCGAGTTTTTATTCTAGTGTAGAAATTTAAGAGTATCCTAGTGAATTGTAGGGTGTTAAAGGAGGTTAGTGGCCGAGCCACATTCTATTGTTGGATACTTTTTAGAGTTTACTAATTTAAGGTTAAATTATTTGTTAAACTAAGCCGAGTGATAGTTTGGAGAATTAATTTGTCATCTTCCATATTATGATATAAAAAGACCGAATTGTCCTGACTAAAATTATTCATAACAGATTTCAAATTTACGTGATTAATAGGATTTTTCAAATTTTTGGGTGATATCGAAAATTTTAAAGGCAATATCAGAAATTTTATGAACAAGTAAGAATTTACAATAGATTTGTGAAATTTCTGATATTTTGTATCGCAAATTTCAAAATATTTAGTATTTTTGTACCGGAAATTTTAAAATAACTGGTGTTTTTATTTATCATTTATATAGGAAATTTTAAAATTTTTGATACGTCACATAATACTGGAAATTTAGAAATTTTCAGTAGTTTATATTTTTCTAATATTTTCTTATTTTGTAGTGAGGACCAGAGATAGAGATGATTATATTGCAGGACTGACCATTGATAGAGTTGACGTTGAAGCTCGGGCTGGACGCCGTCCTCCGATCGATTCTCATCGGAAATAGATGGTTGAGCAAAATGTGCAGTTCTGCGCACCGCGCCGTTGGAGTTTTATAATATTCACTGCTGAGGAGGTACAAGCTCCTACGAAGGAGGTACAAACTTCTATTGAGGAGGTACAAACTCCTAATGAGGAGGTACAAGCTATTGTTCCTATTGTGGAGCCAGTAGTTGAGGGGCACATTGTGGAGCTTGTGGTGCAGGAGGCTGAGCAGGAGGTTGTTGCTGAGCGAGTTGATGAGGTGTCCCTCGCTGATACAGACACTACGACTCGTGCGTCTACAAAGTCATCAATACACATTGATGGAGGTTTTCTTGGAGGACCTTCAGACAGGTCCGTGCTGATAGGACCCAGAGACATCATCCTTCCATCTTCCATTTGGGAAGATGACAGTGACTTTAGATGACGTGGACGTCCTCTTTCACATTCCGATTGCTGGTACATTTTTTACACCAGTTTATAGGGACCAGGCGATGACGGTTCGCAAGATTACAGATGATTTAGAGGTTTCTGAGATGGAGATGCTACAGGAGTTTGGTGAGACTCGGGCATCTGAGCCATGTGTGGGGAGGTGGAAGGCCAAGCAAGCCATTCCAGGAGGTTTGATGGAGTACTAGAGGAGGCTTGATGATTTGAGCTTGAAGGATGTCGTCTGAACACCATAAACATCTCATCGCCCTCATTGTCCGTTTGAGGTATCTACTTTATATTCAGGGTATAATAGACGAGTGAGCCATGTGGCTAAACACTTGCCTGAGAGGTGTCTACGCCAATATGGTTATATACAGGGCGTCCCTCGTTCAGTTTCAGAGTCTCTAGCTGATGTCATTGATAGATTATTTCAGAGTCACATCCTCACCTCCCTCGTGAGATCATGGATACAATCGTTGAGGTTCAGCAGCTTGGGCAGTGCGAGGATAAATATCTAGAGTGGTTTCACAGTGTGTCACACCTTCGGACCACCGACTACAACATCTCTAGTGCTAGCCCATCTATCGAGCCACCACCACCTCCACTACCTGCAGGAGATCAGTACAACCGCCTCCAGTTTATTGTAGTTCATGATGACAATCTCATGGGTTTGGTAAATCCAGATGGTGAGATCTATAGAGGTTTAGCTGGGTTAGCCGACATAGCCCGTGGAGGATCTATGTAGATCTGTTTTATTTTGGTTGTATTATATGTAGATTTTGTGACACACAAACTTTTTATTTATTGCATAATATTTTGGCGATTACATGTTTCGAATTGATGATGAACATAACATAAAATAATATAACAAACATAACTGTTAAACAACTAAACATGAAAACCTAAGCACTTTTGGATGACTCTGGCGTTTTAGCATCTTCATTATGTCGTCGACGGATCTTCGGATCTGCATATCCTAGTCGATCAAACTTTTAGTTATCCTACGGTGAAATAATTTTCACTTGACCTTCACATCTTCATCATTCTTCAACTCGGTTAGGTTGTATTTCACCTTTCTATTTGTATCAATCTAATTCTCTCGAAACTCTACCTTTGGCACCCTTCTGTTATCGAAATCAGGCAGGAAATTATTCAACATTTCTTTCAATGTGACAAAGGATTCAGAGCCATCTAGAAGCTTGAATTCAACATGAGGGTTGTTGCGGTTGTAATACAGTTATGCCTTAATCAGAAATTGAGCAAGAGGTATTTTTTTGAGATGTATTTTCTTTGTAACACATGCCCCTATTCATATAAATGGTGGTGCATTCTAGACCCCACAAATGTGTCGGTGCAATCAGAACCATTCAAATATATCGGCAAAATCTCATCTGTTTAAAAAACCATGTTTTTTTATAACTACCAGAAATTTCAGTTAGTTTAAAATTTTTGGTACATCAAATTTTTTTTGACATTTTTAAATTAGAGGGTGACATGTTAATTTCTTAATAGTTTGACATGACACTAAAATTCATATTTTGAATATCCACTCGAACCCAGTTTAAGTATGACAGATACAATTTGTTGGGTTTGGGTATGGGTTTAGATTTTTCTCAATTTCAAAAGATGGATATGAGACAAATAATGAAAATACTAATATTTATCTTGAATCTGTCTCTGAATTTGCTTCTTTAATAATTTATAATATTTCATTTTAATAATTTTATAATATTACTTGTTTTGTTAGTACATTGATATTTTAATTTATATTTTATTATCTAAAATTGATATTTTAATTTGTATTAAATTTATCTTAAAAAGTTTTCAAGATTGTTTAATTTACTATATCTAATGTTTTTTTAGAGTTTCAAACAAGTTATTAATTTGAGAGAAATTTTGATTTTGAGGTGGGGATGGAATGAAACAGGATTATCCAAATCCGTTTGGGACGAATTTTGAGTTTAATTATTTAGGGAATTACTAGAGGCACCCTATGAATTGCTATCACCCCTTCATGAAAAATCCAAAGTACTTTTTGATTCCGGAGATGCATGGCATCCAAAAATAAAATCACATTCTTTTTGACAACATCCAAAAGAATAAGTTGTTTTTATTACAGACATACATCTTCAGAATGCACCGAAGCACATATTCATAGGACGCAAATGCAGATTTTGAAGTTAACATTAAAATTGATAATTTAAAATAGATGAAACATATCAGCGTCGAGATGGACGCTTCAACATCCTAACAATATCTTCGAAATATCTCGCTATTTTCACATCCAGTTCGATCATAAATTTTTTTAGTAATGATAAAATGTATTTCACATAGCTCTTACATCTGCAGTAGTCTTGAATTCATAGTTGTTAAATTCAATGTTTTCTTTGTTGTCAATTGAAAGAGAACATTACTCGAGCTTCACAAATTTTCAATTGTCGTCGTATGATATGAGTTCT